ACCTGCAAGACAGTCACAAATAGGGTACCTGGGGGAGAGAGGTCAGGGTAACCTGGGGTAGTAGGCGATTTGGAAATTGCGACAGCTTACCTGAAAGTCCTGTGGTTGGGGCGTTGAATCAACTTGTACCTAATTCCACTTGACATAATTCCGCAACTTGCTCTCCAAAATCCCAAATAGGTACATTGCTTGATGGCGTCGAATGGAAGGGGTAGGTGCAACTGCTGACACAGTTACGGAAAAATCTACAAAATTTCCGAAATTTCCTCAGGATTTTGCAGAAACCCACTTTTAAAAAATGCCTTTCACCATGTTTCTCAGAGAAATTACCTTTTAAATCACAAATCACGACCGCCGTGTGAGTTGGCCACGGGACGGATATCTTAGCATGTTCTTGTTGCGCACTGCGCGGCTTGATCAGGTTTGTAAGACCTAATGAGTTCTGTAGTTCCCACAATAGACCAATGTGCAATAAACCAAATGAGTAAAGTAATTATTTGGCTGTATTCTAATGAAACTATTTCCCGCTGAAGTTGATTGACAGTGTTCGAAAAGTTGTTCAACCGAATTTAACTTTTCAGGTTGGACGTCATCACTTCCGTTTATTTCTTCGTGGTATTCATGCCGAAGAGAATCTTCGATTCTGGGAAGCAGTGGTGGAGTTTCGCGGCATGAAAAACAAGAGTCCTGCTCAGCTCACGGCCGGAAAAAGCTGCCTAAACACATTTCTTGCCGAAGGAGCAAATAATGAGGTATTAAGGAACATTTCGCTGCACGACTGCGTTTTTGATGATGGAATCTGAGGTCTAATTGGATGAGTTCAGTACTCCCTCGAAAATTACGCATGGCGAGGTCACTGCGCGGCGACGCGCACTCGTCGCGTGCCGCAGGCAGAGCATTTGCACCGCAACTGTTTCGGGGCAGACGCACGACGTAACAAAGCTTACCCATCCAACACCTTCATGCCTCTGCTTACCCTCTAATTGGTTACGCCAACAGCTAGTCCGGCACCGCCGGACTCTGAACACTAGAGAGTCAATTGGTTGGTCTGCAGTGAGGCTCTGTTAAGTCGTTAAGGCCTTATCCAGCAAGGAAGCCAGAGCAAAGCGCTCATGTTGATGATGGCAGCTATTGTAAAATTTTGTCCAGCACGGAAATCACTGGGCAAAAAGAAGTTGGGTTTCGGGCGATAGGTCGTATCCTTTGATTTTTTCTCACCACTGCACCATTTACCTTCCCAACTTCCATGTCCAACAACGATCAATGTGTCGTACCAAGTGTCTTTGGAAGCAGGAACTTGGAGTTCGGAGAACAGGAAGCATAACTGTACTCGGTACTATCATCTAAGAAAAGTAGCGTATGATAGCGGGACGATACGCACTTTGGTCTAAGCGGCCTCAGCCACCTAACAGAGCATCAACCGTGGACCTACCGATTAACTCTTTTGATTGCAGGCCGTCGTTGTGAAACTCGAGCCATTTTAGATGAGTGCCAAAGTAGAGCGTTCATGTGTTGGAGCCAACACTGATGAACTCTCCCAATGAATCGGGGAAAACAAGGGTTTTGTTGGGAGAACAAGGGTTCCATTTTGTGGGCTCTTAGTTTTCCTTCACCGTTGCACTTCTTAGCAGCTTTACTTTATTGCCAACGAGTGACCAACTTATTGTACCATCTGCCTTTGTGCGGGGACACCCCACAAAGAAGAAATGCTAATATTTTTTCCAGAAATCAAATGGTATTTAGAAGGCTTACAAGGTTTACAGCCTACAAAGGTTTAGATTAGGCTCACAACCTATTTTTAGGTATTCCTACCGTTCGGCGTTAGGCAAGTGATCGAGAAGAAAATTCAAGAGAAGGATGTCGACATTACACTTTTCGACGAGGCTATCAAGCATGTCGAGCAGGTATGCCTACTCAGATTTGAATACATCATTTCAACTAGTCTTTGAGATTTCGAAAAAACTTGCAAATATTGAAATAGAAAGTAGGACTATTGAAGCGCTTTTTGGTTAGACCAGCGAAGTAATCTTCCCGTTTTAATCAAATTCAGGTAGCATCGACGGTACAAACTGGGACACTTCTGCTCAAATGAAGTATTGGGGGGTCACTAGCGAGTAGCGTCGATAAAAGGCGCCGCTATCACACGCGCAATCCCCAGTTCGAATCCTCTTTGAATGCCCGCTTTTGCATTCCTCCCGGATTGGTTAAGTGATGCTGGAATTGTCATGAAGAACAAGGAGCTGGCTCGAACTAGCGACTCTTTGAGTTGATATCTGCGATGAATGCCCGATATACACAGCCTCGAAATTTGTGCTGATACCTGTAGGAATCCGGCAGGGCCAAATTTTACAGCCCCTGCTGTTCATATTCAGCCATTACCTTCGTTCCGGCTCCCATTGGCTCTCTTTCATTCATTCGTCTGGTGGGCGCTCCTAAAATGTGCAAAGGTGACAATTCATTAAAGAAGCTTCATAACCAAGTATAGTTGGTTACATTAGCTTCCTGATATATTGATAATAATTACCCAACTTGGGAGGAAGGAAAGGCTAAATTGGTTGGAGCGTAGTCCATACTGCGGATTGTGTGTGTTACGGTGCCTGTCGCAAATGGTGTGATACTACCCATTCCGCAGTTTCGCGGTAGGGACTACCATCGACCGCTGCTACATCTCCTACGCACCTCACAGAACAGGTGGACCTGAACTCCTCGGGGACTTAGGGTGTGTCGCCGAGGTTGGTAGAGTTCCCCTGATGTGGTTCATAAGTGTGCAGCCCTACTTGACCCGAACATACGGTAATATGCTTCTGAAATTCATAAATAGGGTAGCAACAAATACATATATGTGTTGTGTAATATATTCATACAATACAACCCAACAGAGTACAAGTAACAATGCATACATTTTGACGCTACAACTCACCATACTCTGCGGGCTTCTTGGTTCTTCGAGGTGAGCTACACCAGCTGATGTCACGTTGCAGACCCCACTGCTGATCGAGACACTCCATAAGGGCTTCACGCGTTCGACTCGGCTATTAGAGTGGCTACTCCCGGACGGGGAGCAGGGAGCGACACCACCGGCCCGATGACAGGGGTTTAGTCGACTTTATCTTGTAAACGTTCCCCCTCGCCTTGAGTCGGTCTCACTTCATCTTATCCAGTGATGATCGAACTGCCACCTATCTG